CGAAGCGGGGGGGGGGGGAGGGAGGGAGGGGGGCACTTACTTCTGAGCTCTGCGGGGACGGGGCGCAACAGAGACAAAACAAAGGGTTAATTCCGAGGGGACAGCGGAGCAGCGTCACCGCCCCCAGCCCAAAGGGACCCCAAAAGGGACCCCAAAGGGACCCCCCTGTCCCCGCCAGGCCACTCCCCACGCCCCCACCCCGGTCACAGCCCCAGGGGTCCCCCCATGGGTGAGGGACGTGGGGACGGACACTGGGGACAGCCGGGGACACCCCGGGGGGACTGGGGGTGACATGGGAGGGGACAGGGATGGGGATGGGACAGGGACAGGGACAGGGATGGGACAGGGAGGGGACAGGGACAGGGACAGGGACAGGGACAGGGACAGGGATGGGACAGGGACAGGACAGGGAGGGGACAGGGTTGGGGCCAAGGATGGGGACAAGAACGGGGTTGAGGACAAGGACAGAGGACAAGGGAGTGGGACAGTGGGAATGGGGGACAGGGGACAAGGATGGGGACAAGCACAGGGGACAAGAACAGGGAACAAGAACAGGGGACAACAGAGGACAAGAATGGGGACAAGGTTGGGGACAAGAACAGGGGGACAAGAATGGGGACAAGGTTGGGGACAACGACGGGACAAGGATGGGGACAAGGATGGGGACAAGAACAGGGGACAAGAACAGGGGACAACAGAGGACAAGGATGGGGACAAGGTTGGGGACAATGACAGGGGGACAAGAATGGGGACAAGGTTGGGGACAACAGAGGACAAGGATGAGGACAAGAACAGGGGACAAGAATGGGGACAAGAACAGGTGACAAAAACAGCGACAAGAACAGACACCAAGACCCTCAGGCGAGCCCAGCAGAGACACCCCGGGGGCCACCAAACGCCCCCCGGGGGCCACCACAGCTGTCACCCACCCGGGAGGGGACACGCCCCGCGCTGGGGACAGGGAGGTGGCAGTGGCACAAGGAAGCAGGAAAAGCGGTGGCACTTACTGATGGATGGCTTGGAGGAACTTACGCTGGTGGGTCCGAACTTTGGCGTGGTCGATCTTCTTCACCAGCTTGGTGTGTTTGTAGATGAGCCACGTTTCCCTGAGCACGTTGGCAGCGGCGTTTTTCACCTGCAATCCCAAAATCCCGGGAATCCGCCGGCGGAATGGAATTTCTCCCAAGTTTTTCCCAGTTTTCAGGGGGTTTGTCCCATTTTTTTCCCCATTTTTAATGGGTTTTTCCCATTTTTAATTGGGGTTTTTCCCAGTTTTAATTGGGTTTTCCCAGTTTTAATTGGGTTTTCCCAGTTTTAATTGGGGTTTTCCCAGTTTTAATTGGGGTTTTCCCAGTTTTAATTGGGTTTTTCCCAGTTTTAATTGGGTTTTTCCCAGTTTTAGTTGGGTTTTCCCTGTTTTAATTGGGTTTTCCCAGTTTTAGTTGGGTTTTCCCTGTTTTAATTGGGTTTTTCCGAGTTTTAATTGGGTTTTTCCCAGTTTTAATTGGGTTTTCCCAGTTTTAGTTGGGTTTTCCCAGTTTTAATTGGGGTTTTCCCAGTTTAGTTGGGTTTTTCCCAGTTTTAATTGGGTTTTCCCTGTTTTAATTGGGTTTTTCCCAGTTTTAATTGGGTTTTTCCAGTTTTAATTGGGTTTTTCCCAGTTTTAATTGGGTTTTTCCCTGTTTTAATTGGGTTTTCCCAGTTTTAGTTGGGTTTTTCCCAGTTTTAATTGGGTTTTCCCTGTTTTAATTGGGTTTTCCCTGTTTTAATTGGGGTTTTCCCTGTTTTAATTGGGTTTTTCCCAGTTTTAATTGGGTTTTCCCAGTTTTAGTTGGGGTTTTTCCAGTTTTAATTGGATTTTTCCCTGTTTTAATTGGGTTTTTCCCTGTTTTAATTGGGTTTTCCCAGTTTTAATTGGGTTTTTCCCAGTTTTAGTTGGGTTTTCCCAGTTTTAGTTGGGTTTTCCCAGTTTTAATTGGGTTTTCCCTGTTTTAATTGGGTTTTCCCTGTTTTAGTTGGGTTTTTCCCAGTTTTAATTGGGTTTTTCCCAGTTTTAATTGGGTTTTTCCCAGTTTTAATTGGGTTTTCCCTGTTTTCAGGGGTTTTTTCCCAGTTTTAATTGGGTTTTCCCCATTTTAAACGGAGTTTTTCCCAATTTTAATGGGGTTTTCCAAAGTTTTTCCCAGTTTTCAGGGGGTTTGTCCCATTTTTTTCCCATTTTTAATGGGGTTTTTCCCAGTTTTAATTGGGTTTTTCCCACTTTTAATGGGATTTTCCCCAGATTTAATGGGGTTCTATTGGGGTTTCAATGGATTTTTTCCACTTTTAATGGGATTTTTTTCATTTTTAATGTATTTTTCCCCACTTTTAATGGGATTTTTTCCATTTTAATATATTTTTTCCCATTTTTAATGAGATTTTTTCCGCTTTTAATGAGATTTTTTCCATTTTAAATGAGATTTTTCCCACTTTTAATGAGATTTTTCCCACTTTAAATGAGATTTTTCCCACTTTCAATGGGATTTTTTCCATTTTAACGAGATTTTTCCCATTTTCCATGAGATTTTCCCCGTTTTTTCTGTTCCTCACCCGCTTGGTGAGCTGCGTGTCCATCATGAAGTTGTGGACGTGTTTCTCGGCTTTGGTCAGCTCCAGCTTCCTGGCCACCACGGCCACCACCCGGCTTTAATGGGCTTGTCCCATCCCAAATGGGGTTTTTCCCAATTTTAATGGGATTTTCCCCAGTATTAATGGGATTTTCCCAATTTTAATGGCTTTTTTTCTCCTTTCCATGGGATTTCCCCCAGATTTAATGGGCTTTTAATGGGTTTTTCCAAACTGTAATGGGGTTTTCCCAGTATTAATGGGGTTTCAATTCATTTTTCCCAATTGTAATGGGATTTTCTCAGTTTTAATGTATTTTTTCCCATTTTAATGGGATTTTTTCCATTTTTAATGAGTTTTTTTCCAATTTTAATGGGATTTTTTCCATTTTAATGGGATTTTCCCCAGTTTCAGTAAGGTTTTAATGGGATTTCAATGGGTTTTTCCAAATTGTAATGGGGTTTTCCATTTTTAATGTTTTTTTTTCCCATTTTTTCCAGTTTTCATGTATTTTTTCCACTTTTAATGAGATTTTTTCCACTTTTAATGAGATCTTTTCCATTTTAAATGAGATTTTTCCCGCTTTTAATGAGATTTTTCCCACTTTAAATGAGATTTTTCCCACTTTCAATGGGATTTTTCCCACTTTTAATGAGATTTTTTTCCATTTTAACGAGATTTTTCCCATTTTCCATGAGATTTTCCCCGTTTTTTCTGTTCCTCACCCGCTTGGTGAGCTGCGTGTCCATCATGAAGTTGTGGACGTGTTTCTCGGCTTTGGTCAGCTCCAGCTTCCTGGCCACCACGGCCACCACCAGCGCGGTGCAGCCGGCGCCCTGCGGGGGACAGCGGGGACAGCTTCGCTCCCTTCGTTTGCGTATTATTTGCATATCATTTGCATATTATGTGCATATTTCTTACATTGGGGTGAACAAAATAACCCCGCCCAGGAAATTCCCAGATTCCTTCTCAGTCTGGAATTCAAAATAATTCCTTTTCTCCTGTGCAGTGCTCGGCACTGGTTTGTTCCTAGAATTAATTCATATTCTGCTTTTTTTTTTAATTATAATTTGACCAATTAATTCATATTCTCCTTTTTTTTAATTATAAATTGACCAATTAATTCATATTCTCCTTTTTTTTAATTATAAATTGACCAATTAATTAATATTCTCCTTTTTTAAAATTATAAATTAACCAATTAATTTTCTCCTTTTTTTAATTATAAATTAACCAATTAATTCATATTCTCCTTTTTTTAATTATAAATTGACCAATTAATTAATATTCTCCTTTTTTAAAATTATAAATTAACCAATTAATTTTCTCCTTTTTTTAATTATAAATTAACCAATTAATTCATATTCTCCTTTTTTTAATTATAAATTGACCAATTAATTAATATTCTCCTTTTTTAAAATTATAAATTAACCAATTAATTTTCTCCTTTTTTTAATTATAAATTGACCAATTAATTCATATTCTGCTTTTTTTTAATTATAAATTAACCAATTAATTCATGTTCTCCTTTTTTTTTTAATTACAAATTGACCAGGAAGAGAAAATATTATGTCCCCTTGTGGTGTCCCCACACCGATGTCCTCACACCGCTGTCCCCACGCCTGTCCCCTCGCGGTGTCCCCACACCATGTGGACACCGTGTCCCATCGTGGTGTCCCTGTGCCTGTCCCCGTGCAGTGTCCCCACACCATGTCCCTTCACGGTGTCCCCTCACGGTGTCCCCTCATGCTGTCCCCACACTGATGTCCCCTCACACTGTCCCCTCACGATGTCCCCACACCAATGTCCCCCCACGCTGTCCTCCCGTGGTGTCCCCACACTGTCCCCACACTGCGGCCCCCCCGTGGTGTCCCCGTGGTGTCCCTGTGGTGTCCCTGTGGTGTCCCTGTGGTGTCCCTGTGGTGTCCCTGTGGTGTCCCTGTGGTGTCCCTGTGGTGTCCCTGTGGTGTCCCTGTGGTGTCCCTGTGGTGTCCCTGTGGTGTCCCTGTGGTGTCCCTGTGGTGTCCCTGTGGTGTCCCTGTGGTGTCCCTGTGGTGTCCCTGTGGTGTCCCTGTGGTGTCCCCACGCTGTCCCCACACTGATGTCCCCTCACACTGTCCCCTCACGATGTCCCCACACCAATGTCCCCCTCCGCTGTCCCCCCACGCTGTCCCCCCGTGGTGTCCCCACACTGTCCCCACACTGCTGTCCCCCCGTGGTGTCCCCGTGGTGTCCCCGTGGTGTCCCTGTGGTGTCCCCACGCTGTCCCCACACTGTCCCCCCGTGGTGTCCCCACGCTGTCCCCACGCTGTCCTCACACTGTCCCCACACTGCTGTCCCCCCGTGGTGTCCCCACGCTGTCCCCCCGCAGTGTCCCCCCGTGGTGTCCCCGTGGTGTCCCCGTGGTGTCCCCGTGGTGTCCCCGCGGTGTCCCTGTGGTGTCCCCGCGGTGTCCCCACGCTGTCCCCACGCTCACCATGATGCCGGTGAGCAGGCACACGCCCTTGCCGCAGTAGGTGTGTGGCACCATGTCCCCTCATGGTGTCCCCACGCTGTCCCCCCACAGTGTCCCCACACTGCTGTCTCCCCGTGGTGTCCCCGTGGTGTCCCCGCGGTGTCCCCACGCTGTCCCCACGCTGTCCCCACGCTCACCATGATGCCGGTGAGCAGGCACACGCCCTTGCCGCAGTAGGTGTGTGGCACCATGTCCCCGTAGCCGATGGACAGGAAGGTGATGGAGATCAGCCACATGGCCCCCAGGAAGTTGCTGGTCACCTCCTGCTTGTCGTGGTACCTGCGCGGGGCGGTGGCACCGGCGTCACCCATGTCACCGCTGTCACCGCCGCTGCTGAATTCCCACCCCGCCCCTCCTTGTGCCCGTGGCGGTGGATTCGGGGCGTTGTCCCCAAGCTGGGATTGGGGACACCATGGGGACGTCCCCATGGCCAGGCTGTGTCCCGTGGGGAACGGGCTTGGGGGACAATGAGGGGACAGGCACGGAGGTGGCACCGCTGTCCCCAAAAGCGCAGGACGCTGATGTCACCCCAAATCCACCAAGATGGAATTGGGGACACCACGGGGACGTCCCCATGGCCAGGGACAATGAGGGGACAGACATGGAGGTGGCATACGCTGTCCCCAGAAGCGTAGGACACCGATGTCACCACCGATGTCACCACCACCACAGGGATGTCCCCATGGCCAGGGACAATGAGGGGACAGGCACGGAGGTGGCACCGCTGTCCCCAAAGGACGCTGATGTCACCACCATCATTGATCCCCCCCATCATGGTGGATTTGGGGCGTTGTCCCCAAGCCGGAATTGGGGACACCACAGGGATGTCCCCATGGCCAGGCTGTGTCCCCAAGGGACAGTGAGGGGACAGGCACAGAGGTGGCACCGCTGTCCCCAGAAGCGCAGGACGCCGATGTCACCGCGCACCCCCAGAGGCCACCGCGGGTGACACCGGGAGGGCACCGGGGACACCGGGAGATTCCCGCGTCACAAACACGGCGGTGCCACCACCCCCTGTCCCCAAGGGTGGGGACAAACCCGGCCGGGGGACACGGAGCAGCCGCCAAGCCGGGCAGGGGGACGGGGACATGCGGGGAAGTGGGAATGGGGAGGGGGAAATGGGAATGGGGAAATGGGAAATGGGAATGGGGAGGGGGAAATGGGAAATGGGAAATGGGAAATGGGAATGGGGAAATGGGAAATGGGAATGGGGAAAGGGAATGGGGAAAAGGGAAATGGGGAAAAGGGAAATGGGAATGGGGAAAAGGGAAATGGGAATGGGGAAATGGGAAATGGGAATGGGGAGGGGGAAATGGGAATGGGGAAAGGGGATGGGGAAAAGGGAAATGGGGAAAAGGGAAATGGGAATGGGGAAAAGGGAAATGGGAATGGGGAAAAGGGAAATGGGAATGGGGAAAAGGGAAATGGGGAAAAGGGAAATGGAATTGGGGAAAGGGAATGGGGAAAGGGAATGGGGAAAAGGGAAATGGGATTGGGAAAAAGGGAATGGAGTGGGAAAAGGAAAATGGGAATGGGAAAGGGAAAATGGGAATGGGAAAGGGGAAATGGGAATGGGAAAGGGGAAATGGGAAAGGAAAAAGAGAATGGGGTGGGAAAAGGTAAAATGGGGTGGAAAAGTGGAAATGGGAATGGGAAAAGGTAAAATGGGAATGGGAAAGGGGAAATGGGAATGGGAAAGGGGAAATGGGATTGGGAAAAGGAAAATGGGATTGGGAAAGGGGAAATGGGAATGGGAAAAAGGGAATGGAGTGGGAAAATGTAAAATGGGGTGGGGAAGGGGAAATGGAATTGGGAAAAAGGGAATGGGGTGGAAAAGTGGAAATGGGAAATGGAAAATGGGGTGGGAAAAGGGAAATGGGATTGGGGAAAGGGAATGGGGCAGGGAAAGGGAAAATGGGGCAGGGAAAGGGGAAAGGGGACACAGGAACAAGCCAGGGTGGGGGGTCTCAAGCTCCAGGAATTTAGGATTGCTGCTTCCCGACCCGGTTTGGGCTTGGAACCTCACCCGGCACCGAGGGACACGGCGGGGACAGGGCGGGGTGAGGGCGACAGGTGACAGCCACGGTGACATTTCCCGGCACCCGCATTCCCAGGGAACAGCCGGGATTCCTCCCCCAGGAACCCAAAACGTGGCGGGGGTGGGGGGGGGAAACACCAAGGGACAAAAAATCGGAACCCAGGGGGGAAAAAAAAAACACCCCAAAACCCCTTTGGAGACTCCCAGCTCCTTGTGGGGTCTCTAAATGTCCCCCCAAAGCCAGCAGGGAAGTCCCCAGGCTGGGGGACACAGGGGAGGGGACAGGGAGCGGCTGCTGAGGTTCCAAGAGGAAAAAGGGCCCCCAGCCCCTTTCCGTGTCCCACCCCGGCTGCAGCTAATCCTAAATCCTGGGAATTTCGGGGAGCGGAAGCCTGGGGCGAGGGACGGTCCCTGCGGTCACTCACAGTTTGTCCCTGCAAGCAGCAGAGCGGGCAGGGAGGGAAAACAACAGCGGTTAATGCGCGACCCCCGGGCCGGGCTGGGGGTCAGCGGAGGGGGGGGGGGACACGGCGGGGACGTCCTGGGGACCCCGAGGGGACATCCTGGGATCCCACAGGGACATCCTGGGACCCACAAAGGGACGTCCCGGGGCCCCAAAGGGACATCCCTGGATCGCTCGGGGACATCCCTGGACTCTGGGGACATCCCTGGGACCCCATAGGGATATCCTGGGGACCCCACAGGGACATCCCGGGACCCCCAAAGGGACATCCTCGAACCCTGTGGGGACATCCCCAGCATCCCGCAGGGACATCCCGGAGACTCCGAGGGGACATCCCTGGACTTCGGGGACATCCCCGGGACCCCACAGGGACATCCCGGGACCCCAAAGGGACATCCCAGGTTCCCACAGGGACATCCCGGGACTCTGGGGACATCCCTGGGACCCCAAAGGGACATCCCGGGTACCCCACAGGGACATCCGGGGACCCCCAAAGGGGCATCCTGGGACCCCTCAGGGACATCCCTGGGACTCCGAGGGAACATCCCTGGACTCTGGGGACATGCTGGGACCCCAAAGGGACATCCCAGGATCCCTCAGGGACGTCCCTGGACTCTGGGGACATCCCGGGACCCCACAGGGACATCCCAGGTTCCCTCAGGGACATCCTGGGACCACAAAGGGACATCCTGGGACCCCACAGGGACATCCCTGGGACTCTGAGGGAACATCCCTGGACTCTGGGGACATCCCGGGACCCCACAGGGACACCCTGGGGACCCCACAGGGACATCCAGGGACCCCCTAAGGGACATCCTGGGACCCCTCAGGGACATCCCAGGATCCCTCAGGGACGTCCCTGGACTCTGGGGACATCCTTCCCTGGGACTCTGAGGGAACATCCCTGGACTCTGGGGACATCCCGGGACCCCACAGGGACACCCTGGGGACCCCACAGGGACATCCAGGGACCCCCTAAGGGACATCCTGAGACCCCTCAGGGACATCCCAGGATCCCTCAGGGACATCCTGGGACCCCTCAGGGACATCCCTGGGACTCTGAGGGAACATCCCTGGACTCTGGGGACATCCCGGGACCCCACAGGGACACCCTGGGGACCCCACAGGGACATCCAGGGACCCCCTAAGGGACATCCTGGGACCCCTCAGGGACATCCCAGGATCCCTCAGGGACGTCCCTGGACTCTGGGGACATCCTGGGATCCCACAGGGACATCCCGGGACCCCTCAGGGACATCCTGGGGGCCCCAAAGGGACATCCCGGGACCCCTCAGGGACATCCCCGGGACCCTGCAGGAGCAACTGAAGAGCACAGGCACATCCTGGAGGGTCCCCTCGGTGGGAATGTCACAGGACCCCCCTGTGGGACCCCCAATTTTTGGACAGTGGGACCCTCAGGTTCTCAGACCCCACGGCAGGACCCCAAATTTTTGTTGGTCCCCTCGACACCTCCAGCTCTTCCATCCCCTCTGTGGGACCCCCCCAGTTTTTGCTCTCCTCTTTGAAACCCCCAATTTTTGGTCCCCACTGTTGGACCCCAAATCTTTGGTCCCCTTGGTACCTCCAGCTCTTCAGGCCCCTCTGTGGGACCCCCAATTTCTGCTCTCCTCTTTGGGACCCCCAATCTTTGTCCCCTTTTTGGGACCCCCAGCTCCTCAAAGCCCTCTGCAGGACCCCAAATTTTGGTTCTCTTGACACTTCAAGGTCTCTGAACCCTCAACCTTCAGGCCCCGCATCAGGACCCCAAATTTTGATTCCCTCGACACCCCGAGCTCCTCAGACCCCTCTGCAGGACCCCAAATTTCTGGACCCCACATCGGGACCCCAAATTTTGGTCCTCTTGACACCTCCAGTTCTCTGAACCTTCAACCTTCAGACCCCACACCAGGACCCCAAATCTTCCCTTCCCTTCCACACCCCCCAATTCTCCTCCCCTCAGCACCCCCCATCTCCCCCACATCCCCTAAGCCAACCCCAACCCCACAGCGCCAACCTGACAAACCCAACAAAACCCCCCAAAAAACCAAAAAGCTCCCACCGGAGGGTCCCACCCCGACCACGAGGGGATCTCCCAACCCACCCAGCCCACATTTGTCACCTCCCCAGCCCCACATCCCCAGCCCCACATCCCCAGCCCCACATCCTCAGCCTCCCATCCTCAGCCCCACATCCTCAGCCCCACATCCCCAGCCCCACAACCTCAGCCCCACATCCCCAGCTCCAGAACCTCAGCCCCACATCCTCAGCT